CAAACATTGATATACACAGTGCATGAAAATAAGATACTTTTTAAGATATTTGAAATGAAATATCTTAAGAATGCAACTTTGTTTCATGTATAGAAATTCATCTAGTTTATAATCGTGTTATTGGTTAATCACAATCGACATATATCGATAAAGTGCATAGTACATTTGTCATGAAAGATTGTTTACTAGGAGATACACCCATTGCTAAGGGCAATAAATTTAATATGTTTCCATGCCTAAGAATTGATCATGAAAAGAAAGAGATGGAAAAGATCCCTTTTGTACCTGTAGTAGGGAGTCTTATGAATGCTCAAGTTTGTATGCGTTCGGATATTACGTGCATTGTTGGAATGCTTGCAGATATTTAAGTAGCACAGGAATGAATCATTGGATTGCAGTAAAGCGCGTTATCTGATATTGAAAGAGAACAAAAAAATTTATGCTCACAAATCAAAGATCTAATCATTTTGTGATCATGGGGTATTTTGACTTTGATTTTACTCGTTGCCTCGATAGTGGAAGATCCACTTCAGACTCTATTTTTATATGAGCTAGAGGTGTTGTGTTTTAGAAGAGTGTGAGAAACCACTAATTGCTTCCTCTATAATGAAAGCAAAATTCAAATATTGTATTAGGCATCAAATGAAGGAATATGCTTGTGGAATTTTATCATCGAACTATATATTATTGTCAATATTGACAACTATTAAAATTAAATTGTGATAATTGAACCGCCAAGTTTTATTCAAATAACAACAGAAGTTCATCAAAATCATAACATGTTGACATAAAGTTTCTTATTGTAATAGAAAGAGTTCAAAATTCTCAAATGTCGATTGAACTTCTAAGGACAAATTTTATAATTGCGGATCCACTTACTAAAGGTTTATCACCTAAAGTATTTCATGAGTAGTAGCTCACATAGCTGTGGTTTATTTGGATGATATACTAGTACAATATGAGTTAATGTTGTTCAATTATTATGGCATGTCTTGCGATCAAATTAAAGGATTGTTATTTTTTTATCATTTGAAAATTGAAGTAGTTGAATAGTTTTAATAGTTGAAATTTTGTTGAGAGCTCTTTTTGCTATAAGACAGGTTGGAACATGATATAGACATCATGTATGTAAATAAGATATTCTTTTTAAGAAATTTGAAATGAAAGATCTTAAGAATGCATCCTTTTTGTTATGTATACAAATTCATCCAGTTTATAATCGTGCTATTGCTTAATATATCGATAAAGTGCATAGTACATTTGTCATGAAAGATTGTGTACTAGGAGATACACCCATTGCTAAGGGTAATAAATTCAATATGTTTCCATGCCTAAGAATTGATCATGAAAAGAATGAGATGGAAAAGATCCCTTTTGCACCTATAGGGCAGTCTTATGTATGCTCAAGTTTCTATGCGTTTGGATATTACGTACATTGTTGGAATGATTGCAGATATTTAAGTAGCACGAGAATGAATCATTGGATTGCAGTAAAGCGGGTTATCTGATATTGAAAGAAAACAAAAAAAAATTATGCGCACATATCAAAGATCGGATCATTTTGTGATCATGTGGTATTTTGACTTTGATTTTACTAGTTGCCTCGATAGTGGAAGATCCACTTCAGGCTCTATTTTTATATTAGCTAGAGGTGTTGTGTTTTAGAAGAGTGTAAGAAACCACTAATTACTTCCTCTATAATGAAAGAAAAATTCAAATTACATATGCTTGTGGAATTTTATCACCGGGCTATATATTATTGTCAGTATTGATAGCTATTAAAATTAAATAATAGAACCGGTAAGTTTTATTCAAATAACAACAGAAGTTCATCAACATCAAAACATATTAACATAAAGTTTCTTGTTGTAATAGAAAGAGTTCAGACTTCTCAAATGTCAAGTGAACTTCCAAGGACAAATTTTATGATTGCGGATCCACTTACTAAAGATTTATCATCTAAAGTATTTCATGAGTTGTAGCTCACATAGCTGTGGTTTATTTCCTACAAGAGTTGAGTAAAATGAGAAACTCTCACTTCCTTGAGAATGTTGCCTTAAACCTAGAAGATGGAATAACTCTCACTTATTTTATTCAATGGATTCAAGTACACTTCCAGTTATATTTCTTGATGATTTGACATGTGATCTATATATAAAATGAATTATTTTCATTTTCTCTATTATTTCCAACAAACTTGCCTCCCCAAGGGGTGCTTGAAAAAGATATACAACAACAACAACAACAAAGCTTTGATCTCACTACGTGGGGTCGGCTACATGAATCCTTTTTCTCCATTGCGTCCTATTTAGTATCATATTTTCATTTAGTTCTAATAAATTAAGATCATTTTTAATACAATAAGCCCAAGTCTTTCTAGGTATATCTTTGTCTTTCTTAACACAAGTCGAATCTAAAACATCTACTCTCCTAATCGGATCATTAGATGGTCGACGTTCAATGTGACCAAACCATCTAAGACGACTTTCTCTAATTTTGTCTGTCACGGGAGCTACACTAACCCTATCACGAATATATTCATTCCGCATTTTGTCTCTAAGTGTAAAGCCACTCATCCACCTAATCATTCTCATCTCGGCAACACTTAACTTATTATTATGCTTCTCTTTTAAAGGCCAACATTCAGTGTCATAGAGCATTGCAGGTCTCACCACCGTCTTATAAAATTTTCCTTTCAGTCTTAGCGGTACTTCTCTATCACACAAAAGACCCGAAGCATTCCTCCACTTCAACCAACCAACTTGAATTCCACTATTAACATCCCCATTTATATCACCATCGCTTTGGACAACGGACCCAAGATATCTAAATCGTTCACACCTTTTAATAATTTGATCACCCAAAATCACACTTCTGTCACTAGAGCTATTACTACTAAAATTACATTTCATGTATTCAGTTTTACTTCTACTTAAACGAAGGCCTTTAGACTCCAAAGTAGACCTCCATAATTCAAGTTTTTCCTGGGCTTTTTCTCTCGTTTTATCCACGAGAAGAATAAATTCAACATATAATTTTTAAAAAAGTTTGTCACACTTTGAAATGCACGTCTAATTTTTATATTTGTTTTATCACATTTTTGACTATATGAAACGCATCTTTAAAGTTTCTTTAAACACTTCTGGGCTCGTAATCGGCCATCCCTGTGTCAATTGTTCTATCACATGTGCTTTATCATTCTCTGCATCGAATACTACAATTTCAAAAGCTCCATCCTTACAGTTTCATCCATCAAATGTACGGAAGGGATCATGATAACTAATCGTTTTTGAACTCAGGTATATTTTGACGATAAAAACTAATGCCGGCTTTGAAGTCGCACATTGTAGAAGCTGATGAATTTTGACATTATTTGACCTTTGCTTGTTATACTTCGTGTTTAAGCTTATTTCTGGCTATGCTATTCAAAAAGTTTTTTCCCTGCTGAGTTTATTACTGTATGTTTGTGGATCATATTTTTATTTTTATGGATTATATCTGCTTGACTTGTGGTTGACTTGTTTTTTGTCAGCTGTCGATTGGGCTCAGGGAAGTCTGAAATATTACTTTGTTATACATAAGAGTTTTTTCTAGTTTTCAAAAGCACGGTTTGTTGAGGTTTATATTGTGCAAGACTATGGCCATAATTTTAGCCTTGTGATCAAACGTCGACACATAACATCCCAGAATGCAAACATTTTCGTTAGTCCCGTAGTAATTAGTTGGAGTTACGTTTAAAATTATTTCAAGATGAGTCATCACAATAGCCTTTTCTGATTTTGATACTGCTCACACTCGATCTGATGGTGAAATTAAAAAAATTATTATTAATTTTAATTTTAAAATAAAGTGCCATTAATAACTAAAAATTAAATTAATCAAAAATAAATTTATTTTATTTTGTTAGGTGTCTTCTCTGTGTAAACATTTTTTTTCTCTTGCTCGTCTTCTATTTACAAGTTTAAATATGAAATTTTTTAAATCAATGTGTTGCGTTCTCAATGCAGTAATTATACTTGAAACTATAATAACTCAATGAGAAGAAAACAATATATATACTGATTTTTTTTTTATTATGTTATATAAAATTATATAGTAAGATTAGTGAGATATGCTCATATAAGGGCACTTTTTTTTATTTTTTCATTAATCATTTTTATTTTCTTTCAAGTTTAATCTTTAAACTTTTAGAGCACTTCTTGCTATTAATTTATACATTTGTCTCAATAGCACCGTTTAAACATAACATACCTTGACTGATATGTATCCCATCGGCACAACGAGGCACAAATTAGGTCTACTGTTGTTTTAGGTGAAAATGTATCTATTCACCCCCTCGTGGATATGTTCATGTCGGAGTCACTACTCATGTTCTAAATTTCATGATTGCTTGCGGAGACAGCAAAGCAGTTGCACCCGTGAATACATTAGCTTTCCCAGTTAGTTCCATAGTGGAAAAACATCTTTTATCATCATGCACATACATGCAATTTATATATATGATATGCATATTTCATTATTAATGGCATCTATTCTTTTATTATGAGGCAATTTATATGTATTTACCAATGAAGAAATGCACTTCTAATCAAATCTAAAGGTCTGGTAATAATCTAATTATCTTCAAGTAAAATTTTTACGCAATTATTTACTTACATATTTCATGTCTAATGATAGGGACAATCAGTTATAGTTTAAAATTCATTAGCCATAGATCTAAATATGAAAAATTGAAATCAAGAATGTACTCATAAGTAAGAAACATTACTATAATTTAGAAATATAATTACTCTTCTTAAATTCTTTTTTTTCCTCTTTACAAATTCTCTAATCACAAATCTTCTAATGTATCAAATGTTCTTCAATCTAATGAATCAAATGTTCTTCAATCCTTCCCTAAATTTATAATTCTGAATTTAAGAACAAAATTTTCAATGAGAATAATTATGTAAAAAGGATAATCTCTAATCCTTGCCTCATTTTCTCTTTTTATTTTGCAGTCACTTATCTCGATCTCCCGTCATTTAATTGGATGGCTTATCTAATCATATCAATGATTAGATAAGAAGTTCAGATTTGAACTAGGAGTGTAATCAATGTAAGGGTTTTGTGTTTTATTGTTTATGCAATTTATTTTTATATGTTATTATGTTAATATTTAAGTTTATGAATTTATAATCAGTGATTTGAATTTAAAATTATTCTCTAAAATTTTTATATGAAAATTTAAATTTCATTTGAATTTTTAGCTCGTTTAAATCTCTATTCACTTGTCATAGACAAAGCAAGTGTATATCAAGTTCAAACATTGTAAAAGGTAAAAAATTAAGCTTGAAAAATGTATGGAAGCTCGACACAAGCTCAAGTTCAACCTGAAAAACTTAAAATTATACTAATTCAAGTCCGAACAATGATATATTTGGCTCGGCTCTGCCCGATTATAGCCCTATTCAGAAGACGGTTATTCAATGTTAGCCGCTCGCACTGCTAGTTTCCTTGAAGTGAATTGATAAGTTTTCATCAGCAACTGCTATTTCACTCTTTTCAATATTTTTTTTAAACTAATCATTTTTGAAATTTTGTTGTGCTTATGCTAGTGTCCAAGCATGAACTCACATTTTACTATGTGCATGTTTTCCAGACGGAAATGTGCATAAAACATTTGAATTCTACGAGTTTTTATCCATTAGAATTTTCTTTGTAGAAATTTCCGGTTATCTTGTTTCTATAGAAGATGCGATGCTTTTCATGTATAATTTCGCAGTTCAGTTATACTTGCTTAAAAATAAACTAAAAGAATGTCGGTAGCATTATGCTCCAGAGAGCAGTGCCTTTATGGAACAATTATTTCTCACTGCCGCTAACAGGATGATTCTCTTGCAGGCATAGATTCTATAATGTAACTATTTGCTAATTTTGCTTTTCATTTTGCATGCTTCTATCTTTATTGTAGACCTTTCTTTTCCCATTATTTACATTAAATGGTTATATATAAAAGAATGGACAAAATCGAGAGGTGCGGTCCGTATAATCTTTAATTTGTAGGGATTGAAGTCCTTTGCACTGACGAACGATTCCATTTGTGAAACGAGCATCCAAAAATAAAGACTAACGATTCACAGAATGTAGGACTTTTAAAAGTTGGGCTTATAACCTGATATTATATTATAGATCACCAAAACCATCAAAGAGCAACCAAGCAAAAAGACCAGTGAAGCATTTAGTGATTAACTAGAATAAAAAAAAGCCAAATACGGTAGCTCAATGGATAGATAACAAACTTAAAGACTAAAATAGATATAATAATTATAAAATAAATTCACTAGCTGTTTCGATGGTTTCATCTTTCTTTGACTTTATATGGGAGAGGCAGAAGGGGAAGCAGAAGTAGAGCGAGGTGAGTGCAAGAAGTAGAGAGAGGGAGATGGAGATAAAGAGCGAGCGAGGAGGAAGAAGAATCCGACGGGTGTCTCGCATGCAACATAGTCAAGCGCAAGAAGTATCACGCTCAAGAGATGAAGTCAAGGTTGTGTGAGGAGGGAAAAAGTATTACGTTCGGCGTTAGGACGTTAAATTACGTCGGAACGCCAATAGCAACTTCAGACGTTGCCGGACACCGCTTGCCCCACAAAAGTTAGAAAAAAAAATCAAAATTAACCCGAACCCGACCTGAGAAATTATTACTGCAAGTATTTTGATATTTATCGCGCGTGTCCAGGCGAGAGAAATTGAACATTTATATGAATTTAGAGTTAAAGATATAGGAGCCGGAAAAAAAAATGGTTTTAAAATTCTAAAGAAAAATTTTGAAGACGAAGAAAATTAAAATAGAAGTTTGAAGGCAAAGTAGATATTCAATGATGGATAATTAATAGAATACCAGTGATTTCTTTATTTTAAATCATGTAGTCTTCAATTTAGAAAGCATCGTTGAAAACCACCTCAGAGTTATTACAATATTTTCAGATGCAAAACTAAGTAGTTGTTTTATGTTATAATTTGGTTATTTTAGTCTGGGTGATTTTTTTTTAATGTATACTTATGACAATATGCTAAGTCATTCCCACTCTTCCTAAAAAAATACGGTATTTATCTATTACATAAACTTAAGACATTTTTTATAACATGCTAATATACCTTTTTTCGAAAGATTTTAGACCTTCGGGGATGTTTATGAACCAAAAAACTAAAGATAAAAATGTTAATTTAACCAAAAGCTGAAGGAACTACTTTATTTTATTTTAGGTTAGTTTTTATAAGAAAAAATTATTCTAGGCAATTATTGTTCAAGAAAGCACTTGTGTATTGTCTCATTCATGAAGAGACTTAGAATTAACAATCACAGATTGAGTACATCAGTGTCTATGTTGTATTAGGTTAGGTTACGTTTCCTTAGAAATGTTAAGACTTTTCACAATCTTTGCACTTAATGGTAGATGTGTATGAACCAAACTCTAAAGAAAAATCTTGTTTTTACTTTAACCGAACGGTGAAGTCAGTATTTTGTTATATTTAATATTTTATGTGATGAGAAAATTTTCATTTTAGGCAATTTTGGTTCTAGAAAGCACATGTGTATTGTGTCGATAATGAAAGGAAAGTAAGAATGAACAAACTTTAAAAGCTGAAATAGGTGTTATATGTTGTTCTGGGTTACATTTCCTTAGAAATATTCTAGTATTTTTAGAAATTTTCTCATATTTTTATAGTCTTTGAACTTATTTGTAGATTTGTCTAGAACTCTGAAAAAAAATCTTATATTTAGTAGAAATGAAAGGTGGCATCATTATTTTATGATATTTAAGGTTTGTTTTGTTCAGAGAACTTTTGATTGTAGGAAAATCATATTCATTTTTACACCTGATATTTGATGTGTTTATAATATTTGTACTTAATTATATATATGTAATCTTTTAATTATGTTTTAGGAAGATTTTTTATCTTGTCATAAGGTAACATAAATAGATTTGTAATCCTAAACTTTGAAGAAAACTTCTAAATGAAGTCTGATAGCTGATATAATCTTTTATTATGTTTGATGTGGAGTTTTTAATAATAATGTTGAGTTTATTTTGCATGTAATATTGAATTTTAAATGTGCAAAATATGCTTGTATGCCATAATGATGCAACTCATTTTCATGATGAACATATTGTAGACAAACTGCTTGCTATCATTGCTCACATTGAAAATGAGGCTTATGATTTGTGTTGTAGTTATGCATACGACATTGAATTTAGTGTGACGAAAAACCATGTCCTTGACCAAATTCCAAAATATAAAATCAAAAGATTATTTTTTTTTCTCTATGTCTGAATTCAAGAGGGATTAAACATAATAGAACAGATAAAAATTCAAACACAAGGGATGTTTAGCAATGATTACATATGAAGTAAACCTTGATGACAATTGAAAGATAAAAATATTTATAGTCACAATCATCTATTAGCAAAGCCAGGTGATCGACAACTTTTGAGTACGGCCGAGGAATCAATGAAGGTAAAGGAGAATTTTGGAGGTCGATGGCAGAAGCGGGATTTGAAGCTACTGATGCGTTCAACTCGCTTGCTATAGAAGTTGGCGACATTGAATGAATGAGATTAAAAGATATTCATTTAATTTAATCCAAACAGATTGAATGAAAATGATTGAAAATTGTGATAGTAATTCTCCCATGCAATTATTCATGGAGAGACGAACTGAAGATATCATGTTTATGTGGCATGTTCAAATTGATGATTTCAGCACGCTAAAGAGTTCTCTTTGGAGTGATGACATGACAAGCGTTAATTACCATTATTTTGGGGATGTGATAATTTTTTACACAAGTTAACATCTTAATAAGTCTAATTTAGTATGCCCACCTCTTGCTGGAATCAACCATCATTGACAAAACATTCAAGTCGGAGTATCCTTTTTATCAGATCAGACAATTGAATCATTCAAGTTGTTATTTAGAGCATTTCTCTGTATAATGGATGAAAAATATCATTTAACAATATTCAATGATCAAGATCAAACAATCATAAAAGCCATTAAAGTGGAATTGCCCCGACCTTATCAATGATAAAAGCCATTCAATGATCAAGATCAAACAAAGATACTCTTGGAACTTATGTTAGTATTGTGAGCAGTTTCATGCATGTTTCAAGAAGGAATTGTTAGTAGACTGTGAAGAATATTTTGAGGTATATGAAGGGTATGGTTGATGTCGGATTGGATTGTGAAAATAAATATTTATTATTAAGTTGTTTGTAGGCTATATACTAATTCAGACGATACGGTTGATAAGAATAGAAATAAGTCTACAACTAGCTATTTATTCATATTGGTCGAAGGTTCAGTCAGTTGAAGATTGATTCTAGCAAGATATTTAATCAGTTGGAGATCAATTCTTCAGTGAACCATTGCTTTGTTTACTATGGGGGTTGAGTACATCGCAGTCAAATAGACGATGAGGGAAGCGATATGGATGCAGTGTCTACTAAATGACTTGAGAGTTGATTAGGAGTCTCTAAGAGTGTTATGTGACAGTCAAGTGCGATATTCTTGCCAAATTTCTAGTTAATCATGCTTATACCAAGTTCATTGATGGGAGTACTATATTGTTCGGGACTTAATGAATCGTGACAATGCACTATTAAAGAAGATAGATATGAAGAAGAATACAACGAACAAGCTCATAAAAATACTACCAGTCCAGAAGGTTATTTGCTATAAAATTTTGATGTACATGCGAGCTCATAATTGATTGCATATTCACGCATTTTGAATAACTACGTGAAGCTTAATCTTTTTGGTAGAGGGACATGTAAGTAATCATCTTGGTGCAATTGTTGTGTTGGAGCTCATTCTAATTCTATCTAGAAGTGTGAGATGAGGTGTAGATTGTTATGAATATTATTAAAATCTAATGATTGTAAATCAAGAAGTGTTTTTATTAGAAAGATTAATATTATGTAACCTAATTTAGGGAGAACAAATTATATGATTTTTCTATATTATAAAATCTATTTTGAGGAGACTGATTATATGATATTACATGTATTTGAAATATTCCTAATTTGTATACAAAAATCCTCTTCCATGAATGAGGGA